TCTTTTTAAATTGTCTTCACTCTATCTTTGCCCCCATGTCTTAAAACCAACACCCTGCACCCTAGTTTCAAACTGGTTCATTTGCTGTTTCAGAAAGGAACTGGGCCCATTCTGGTCTCTGCCTGAGGATTCTCATAGGGAGCAGGAAATCTGAGTAGAAGGAGGTGATGAGGTGGCCCTAGTGTATGTGCCCTGACCATGGCTCATTCTAGTTATGCTGTGGCTTCCATAAAGTGTTTAATTATTGATGCTAATAGAGAATATAAATTCAAATACATTTTAGGTTAATGGTAATCACTCATTGAGTAAAAATTATGTGAATAATTTCTAAAAGCAAAGGGGAAGAAAAAGCAAAGAAAATCTGAGTAACAGATAATAATGACAGAAGAAAGAACTATGGCTGGGCACGATGGCTTATGCCTATAATCCCAACATTTTGGGAGGCCAAGGCAAGAGGATTACTTGAGCCCAGGAGTTTGAGACCAGCCTGAGCAACAGAGTGAGACCCCATTGTACAAAAAATTAGCTGGGTGTGGTGGCATTTGCCTGTAGTCCCAGCTACTTGGGAGGGAGAGATGGGAGGATCATGTGAGCCCAGGTTGAGGCTGCAGTGAGCCATGATTGTACCATTGCACTGCACTCCAGAGCCTAGGTGACAGAGTAAGACCCTGTATCAAAAAAAAAAAAAAAAAAAAAAAAGGAACTATGTGGAAGAAAAATAATAACATACTATACAATGAAAATATTTTTCTTTTTGTAATAAATATAAATGCTTAAATCTCTCTAGGAAAAGGCAAAGACATATTTTAGTTCAGAAACAAAATAAAATTTTATTCTGTTTATAAGAGCATGTGTCTACAACAAAATGAAGGGCCAAAAATAAAGCACCAATGAAGACGTAAGAAGCACATATACACAAATGGTAAGGATACAAATATGGGTTTGTGACAAAGTAAAATAGAAGTCAAAAAGCTGTAGGTAGGACAAAATATGTTATTTTCTACAGATAAAAGAAAAAATAAACAAGGAAGATATGATAATCATAAATACCTAGAAGCAGAACACCATAGCACTGAAATATTTAAAGCAAAAGTCCCAAATATAACATGCAAAAGACATGATCACAATTGTAGCAAGAGACTGTAGAGAAGAATACAGTACCTCTCTATCTTTGACCAATTAAGTCGAAAAATATTGGAACAGCATTTGAACGTGCTCAGATTTGATTTGTGAGACATATGAGGGGATAATATTTTGAACATTAACAAGCATGCTTCCCTCCACTTCTAACCCCTACCCAGAATTATTCTACCCCCCGACCCTGCCCCCCAGATAGATGTGGGTCACTCACTACAGAGCTACATACAAGGAATTCAAATACTCATTAGATTCAAAAGCTGGCCTAAGCATAAGACAGATAAATATCAATGCATACTAGCATAGCACTCTGTGGACCAGAGAAGAGAAAGGAGACGAGAGTCAAGGGCCACAAGAAAAAGAGCATAGGCCAGATGTGGTGACTTACAACCGTAATCTTGGCACTTTGGGAGGCTGAGGCGAGCAGATTGCCTAAGTTCAAGAGTTTGAGACCAGCCTGGGCAACACGGTGAAACCCTGTCTCTACTAAAAATACAAAAATTAGCCGGGCGTGATGGGGTGCATCTGTTATCCTAGCTATTCGGGAGGCTGAGGCAGGAGAATCACTGGATCCAAGGAGGCAGAGGTTTCGGTGAGCTGAAATCATGCCACTACACTCCAGCCTGGACAACAGAGTGAGACTCTATCTCAGAAAAAACAAAACAAAACAAACAACTTTTCTAGATGGTTTGATTTTTTAAAATTTATTCTATATTAAATTCCAGACTTGTGGTACTATTGTCAATTAACATGTCTTGAAAGGTTATTTTTTTTTAAAAAAAAACATAGCCTATTATGTTAAATTGTATACACATATGATAGAGGTTTGAAATACTGTGCATTTTCTGTTTCTAGTGTACAGTTTTTTAGTTTATCTGTAACAAGAGTGTATATTCTACGTAGCTCAACTGTTTCTCAAGCGCCTGACCTCAGGTGATCCACCTGCCTCGGCTTCCTAAAGTGCTGGGGTTACAGGTGTGAGCTACCACACCTAGCCTAGAAAAAAGGTTTTTAAAAATTGTCCTGAATAACATTTGTATCAAAGAGGAACTCAAAACTGTAGTGACAAGTTTTATTTAGAAAATAGAAGATTCATATTATTCATCCATATTATTCATTCACAAGGTATGAAACCAAAGCCATACTTAGTAGGAAAATTCACAGTTTTATAAAAATAGATAAAAGACATATTCAACTAAAGAGATTAAGGAGGCCCAAATACACTTTAGTGGGCATTTGTTGTTGCTGATATATAATATATATTATATACATTTTAAAATCTATATTATATATTTACTAACATGTAGATATATTGAAGAATGTATGTATGATGCACACACACACACACACACACACACACACACACATATATATATATATAAATAATTTGGCTGCCTAACCTCTGAAGCTTCTTCCTATAAAAGGGAAATCTGCCAGGGAGTGAATCCACCAATCAGATGCTGCCCTTGCTACTTTGCAGCTGGAGTGACTGCTTGAAAGGACCGCCTTTATTCTGGTAGCCACGGCCAGTGTTCAGTGGTAGAGCCAGCACATCCCAATCAGGCTGTTCCTGGATACCCTGTGGATCTCAGGGCTCAGATTCCTAATTCCTGCTCCTTCGCTCCACCTAGTTCTCTACACCCCTCTTGTGAATCTCTGGGCTGCCTTATATCCTTCTCCAATACATTATTTTCCAGCTTACATTAGCTAGAGTCAGTTTCTATTATTAAAACCCTCACTCCGGGTGCAGTGGCTCATGCCTGTAATTCCAGCACTTTGGAAGGCCGAGGTGGGCGGATCACAAGGTCAGGAGTTCGAGACCAGCTTGGCCACCATGGTGAAACCCTATATCTACTAAAAATACAAAAAAAATTAGCTGGGTGTGGTGGTGTGTGCCTGTAATCCCAGCTACTCTGGAGGCTGAGGCAGGAGAATTGCTTGAACCCAGGAGGCAGAGGTTGCAGTGAGCCGAGATCATGCCATTGCACTCCAGCTTGGGTGACAGTCTAAAACAAAACAAAACAAACAAAAAAAAAACCTTCAGACTCTCACTAGTCTTCTTAATAAAACTGAAGGAAGGAATGTGTAAGAATAAAGAAAGAAAAATCAATGAGAAAAATCTATAGCAATGATGACTACATTCAAAAATATTTTGAAAGATCAATAAAATCAGCAGACCTCCAACGAATCTATTCACTGAAAAAATTAAGTCACAAAAACTTTTATGGAGGAGAAAATGTACATGAAAGATTCTGAAGCCTAAAAATTATGATCTAGAGTTCTATACTTGATTAATGAAGGAGATAAATTATCAGGATTAACTGAGGTGGGAAACTAGAATGTACTAACTATTGTGGGGGAAATGCCAATAAGCTGTTTTTTCAAAAAAGCACCCTCCTCCCAAAGAGCATAGAGCCAGACTGGTCTAGGGGGAGTTACCATAGAACCTGTGCTATTTAAACCCCTCTGGAGCATGGAGAAAGAGGCAGCTGAGCATCCCTGAATAGCCCAGGACAAGAGAGACCTGCCAATCCTTGACCCCAGCTGGCTCTCTGCCTTATCACATAGTGGTTGGGCTGCGGTGGAGCCTACTGTTGAGAAGCATTTGGACTGTTGTGTGGACAGGTCATCTTACTATGCCATTCTGACCCAGGTGTTACCACCCTTTTAGTTATCTATCAGTGACTGGTGTCAGCCAGGCAAGCCCACAGCACTCACCCAAGTCATACTCATTAACCCTCCAACTAGCTGCCCTTATCCCAGGATTGCCACTAAGTTCAAGCATGTTTTCCCCCACTATCAGAGGAGGAGCACTGCTTATTCCAGTCTGCATGATCCAAGCAGAAGCGAGGAAACCAAGGCCCAGAGAGATGTGTAGTTACTTGCCCAGTCCTCAAAAGGATGAAGTCAGGGTAAGGACTAGCTCTGACTGGGCGCTGGGAGCTAATGGCCAGGGTAGGAACTGCATAACTTTTGTCCTGGAGAAATGTTATGGCAGGTGGACACCAGGGCACAGGCATACACCCGAAGTGTCCAGGGTAGACAGGGACTACTGGTCACTCCAGATCAAACCTGGTAAGGGCCAGAGACTGAAGCTGGGAAATGTTTTTGTTTTCAGTGTGAAGCGTTGCCAAAAGTTTATTCTAGGTCTTGGGAATCCTGTGGACATTAGGGGCCAGATTCAGCGAAGATGCTGTACCTCTTGGGGACAGCTCTGACACGAGGTCAATACAATGCTTCATGTCCCTGGCTGGGCTTGGCTGTGAGCGCGTAGAACTCTGGACCCCGTGCAAATGGACACTCTTAACTGGCACCGCTGGTAGGGGTTACCGAGGGAGCTGGGTCCCTGGTCTGGTGGACTCCCCCGGCTAGGCAACGAGCTGTTTATGGCCCTTCGGAGATGGCTTGCTTTTAGTGCAGTTGACAGTGGGCTCAGAGCACCAAGTAGGCTAGCACCGTATTTATTAGTAAATTGCTCCATAACTCTAGGGCCCAGAAGACCAAAATCATTTGAGCAGATTGCACCCAAAGCACCGCGTGGAGAGAGGAGAAAGCCCGAAACCCACAGACCGCTTCCTCCTCCTACAGGTCCCCCATCCAGTTGCATTTCTCTCTCCCTAGGAGCGTTTCAGAGCATTCCGACTGAAAATGCGCCGGAGGGAGGCGATGTTGCCAGTGAACCAAAGCCGATTTCGCACCAAGACCCAGAAACAGAGAGAACTGATCTCTCTCCGGGTACCCAGGACAATCTCAGGGGCAGATCTATACCGTCCCGCGCCCAGCAAGAAGCGCTGTGCGCCTGTGCTCCCCGACCCCCGGCACGTCCCCACGCCCAGCTTCCCAGGCCGGTCTTCTGCGCGGCTCAAGTCGCCCAGGTCTCCACGCAACAATGCAGCGTGGGCGGCCCCAGCGGCCTCATTTGCATATCGCCGCGGCTCGGCCAATGGGCTTCGCAGGGGCTCTGGAACGCAGTGTTGCCATCGGCGTGCGCGCGTGTGTGCGAGTGTGACAGCGGCTGTGGCTGTGGCCGTGGCCGTGGGAGGCGGGCCCGGCGGAGCCCAGCCGCGCGGGGACCGGCCCGGGCTCCCGCTCCCCAAGCGCATCGCGGCCGCGTGGCCCGGCAGAGCCCTGAGACCACCCGGCCCCGGCCGGTCGCAGTCGCGATGTCGGTGGCCGGGCTGAAGAAGCAGTTCCACAAAGCCAGCCAGGTAGGGACGGCGCAGAGGACGGAAGGAGGGAGGGGGACGGGGAGGCTGCGCCCCCCCGAGGCTCCCGGGCCTTGGGGACTCGGGCTCCCCGAAGGGCCTCCCTCGGGGCTCAATTTCTTCCCGCCTAGGAGGGCGCGAGGGTGGGGTGAGGGGCCGCCTGCTCTCTCCTCGGCGTCCTGGCGCCTCCTCCTTCCCATTCCCCAGCCCCCGGCTCTGCCCTGGGCCGCTGTAAATCGGAGAGGTTCTGCGGAGCTGAGGGCTGAGGTGGCGGCCGCGGGGACACGGGCGCCGGAGACAGAGTGGGCGTGGGGAGGCCCCGACGCGCGTGGGGAGGACGACCCACAGGGAGAACGATGCCGGCAGGGCCTCCCCCGAGTCACCAGCCTTTTGGTTGGGAGCGCCTCGTGGGGGGCCCATCCTCCACCGGCCACCGGCGCCTCCAGAGATGCTGTGTACTTGGCGCTTGGCTGGGCCCCGCCGAGCTCCCCGCGCGCGCCTCGAAATGGCCCCGGCTAGACTGTGCCCGGCTCCTGGGCTGGGGCTCTCCACTAGCGGTCTTTCCCCTCCCCGCCGCTTCCCGGTGTCGGCCTGGGGCTGTGCATCACGTTTCTGTTCTCAAAGAGCTGACAGCCTGCTGGGGAGACACGGAGACAGACACGTAAACAAACAGTGCTAGACACACCTCCACGCACCGAGGATGGCAAATAACACAGTGCGGGCGCCAGGGAGGGCTTCCCGGAGGAGGAGACATACCATTTGAGAATTAAGTATGAGGAGGAATTATGGTTGAGGGTGAGGGAGGATAGGAGGAAGGGCATTCTGAGCAGAGGAAACAGGAAAACAGGCAGGGAGACATGAAATTGATGTGCGTGTGCGTGTGTGCGCGCGCGCGTGTGTGTTGACGAAACGCAAATTTGTTTTTCAACATCAACATTGCAGGCTCTTCCAGCTGTGGCAGAGCTCACGTTGGAAAACCTGCTCCCCACCAGTACCGCCGCATCTGTTGCTTCTCCCACCTCTCTCCCCAACCCCAGCCCCAATTTTGCTAGAACCGGGGTAGACAGATTTCATTCAACGTCCACTGGGTTGGGGTGCATATCCTGACCTGGAGCTCAGGGGGTGAGGCCGATACTGGAGCTACAAATTTTTGGTGATTTCCATCCTAAACAGAGATTTAAAAATGCATGTGTAGACAAAAGTGAGAAAATATACAGTTAGTTAAAGACCGACTCTAGAGAGCATCCACATTTAGGGACAATGTTTAGCCCAGTAGTGGATGAGCAGTGACCACTCAATAAATATTTATTGAATAGGTGAAATTTTGGGGTGGCACAACTCAGGAAAGGAAGAACTCGTAGATTACAGGAGAGAGAAGAGCATCATGGAAGGGGGACATTTTAAAGGCAGGAGCAATCAGTAAGTGCTTTGGTGAGCTAGGTATTGTGGAGTGCTCTCAGATGGTACAGCCGGGAGGCCGAGTGCCGCTGTGGGCAGGGCAGTGCCAGAGTAATCGCTGGTTGTGCTTGTTACACTGGGTCCCTTAGCATTGGCAGGAAATGAGCCTCCTTTTGAAAACGTTTGCTATATTGGGTATGGACTTCATAGGAGCAAATCTCAGAGACAACCAAAATGTAAACCCCTGGGTGATTTAAGCTGGTTTCTGACCAGTAATCAGAATGAATGGTTGAAATCCTTGGAAGTTATTGGCATTGGAGAAATATTTTGCCGGTGATGGGTAGTTTGGTTTAACTACCTGTAATCAGTCCATTAAAGATGAAATGAGCAGAAGGTCTAATTTAGTCTTTTTTTTTTTTTGCATGAGCTTAAATAATTTATGACTTTATCTGGAAGGAAAGGCAACACAGATTCTCTCTGGGCCTCCTAGCCGTATTTTGTGGCAAAAGTACTCAGTAGATATGTTTTAATAGGTTCTAGAAGTCTTTCTAAGAAACCTTGCTGTGCAACAATTTGGTGGAGAAATCAGACCAGTTTAATATAATAGGGGGCACAATAATAAAAAATGCCAGATGTTTTTCTCAGACAACACTTTAACAGCAGGTTTTAATTCACTAGAACTTTCCTGGGGCCAGGGAAGGGAGCCACAGATGGTGTCAATGGCCAAAATAATTCCCAGGGATCTAGATCTGGCACAGCCACTGAGCAGCTCTGTAGTCTTGGGAACATAACTTAACCCATCTGGACCTTGGTTTCTATCTGTATGGTGACTGAGAGAATTTAGAAGCTCTGTTATAAAATTAATTGTGGCAATGGTTGCACAACTCTGTGAATATACTTAAAAACCATAGGATTGTACACTTTGAGAGAATTGTATGGTATGTGAAATATATCTCGATAAAGTGATACGCCTATGTCTCTGTGTCTGAGGGTGTGTGTGTGTGTGTACACCTCAGTGCTGAAATTCATAAGTAAATTTACTTTAAGCATTTCAGAGTAAGACAAAGATGACAAAGTGGACCTTTTACAGATAAGGGATCCAGGACCATGGCAAACTGAGATTATTTTTCTGAAAGATAGGTGAGGTAAAATTAACTATAACCTGATTAACTACTATTCCTTTTTTCCTGGTACCTTTCCTATCTCTGGGGAAAAATCCCGACTTTACAGAGAACGAAGAACCGTAAACCCTGGGGATTATGCATCATTTTGGCAGCACATGGAGACCAACAGGAAAGAGGAAGAAATATGCTTAAATGAGAAGAGTATAAGTTAACAACAAAATTTAATTAATTCTAAGCTTCAACATTTGAGACTAGAACCCAAATTTTTCACATGCATAGTTAAATATTTTTTCTCTTGATAAGATTTTTTGATAGAGCTGTTTACTCTTCTGGTGGAGATGTAGCTTGAGTTATTATACGTAAATACAAATAGCATAGTTAGTGCACTGTGGTTTCTTATAAATGTGGTGCCTAACCAATACAAATATAGCTTACAATAATTACAATTGTGTTACCACTTACTGATGTGTATTTGTATGCTTATTTCACAGTAATTTTTCTCGATAGCATGTATTGTTGAAGAAGGAAGTTTAGGCCACACCTGTGTGTCCTCTGACCTGGAAAGTATTAATAGCCATGTTCTTTCCGTTTCTGGACCTTATTGTCTTCCAGGGGTCTTGCTCTGCATCCCATAAAAGTCCAGGGACCAGTTTCATCTCTTCTCTCCTCCTACTCCCAAGCCTACCACTGCTGATGACACTTGTGGACTCCATGTTAAATTTACTTCTTTATGCCTTTTTACCTCTGCCATGTGACCCAGCAACACATGCCAGAGGTTAAAGGGGACTCCTTGTAGGCCAGAAAGAAGGGGAGCCTCTAACACAGTGCTTTTTTGCACTTTTCCCCCTTCCTCTTTTAATTCGTTAGCCAGAAAAATGATAAGGGGTCATGAGGGTCTGTATGTATTTCCTGTAATCACTGGCTGTACAGGCTGGCCATTTATGGGTAAATGCTTCAGAGAGGGATATTCTTTGTAAATCATGAGATTCCCTAGGGAGGCAATGAATGTCTCTTGTTTCTCTATCTCATTAGAGAGAAAGATAAAAATGCACTTTGCAAAATCCATAATGATTTATTTTTTCTCTTAAACGCATCAGAAAATATATTAAAGCTAAAACATTCTTGCTCCTTTCCAAATAGATTGATAAATTAATTGATAAATCTCTTTCTTTTAAAGTCAGGATGTGAAGATAGATGTTTAAAATGAATAATTGATTTTGATGTTTAAAAATATCTTAAGGATACAATATAACCCAAACATTTCTTACCACTGGTGACTTTTTGTTCTATAAAGTTAATGTGACTCACGGTATCACTTGGAATTTGATTTAAAAATGCATTTGAAGGCAGAGATGTTTTTTCCTATTGCTTTAGTTAAATTTTTCAGCTTTATTAACAAATTGAATGTAAATTAATTTCCCAAAGTTAAGTGTATGTGGGGGTATCTCATGTGTGTTTGGGGAAGCTATTATCGGGATGCTTTACCCAGAAAAGATAACTGTCAGTAAACAACTGACACACTGTTTGGCTAAACAATGAATGTATTCTGGAGAATCTTTATCAGTGAAACGTGGATAGTTAGATTTTGCTTTTCAATAGAAACCTGGGAAAGTGTTGAGCTTGGGGGAGAGTCTGGGAGAAGTACTATGGATCAGATCAGTGAGGCGTTGTTTTTAGTTCTAACTATTCCAGCTCTTTGAAATGCCTTCCCCATGGGAATTCCTTCCCAATTTCCAGGGTCATCCCACTGTTTTTACCACACACAGTACCAGCAGCCAGTGACCTTCCTGAGCCAAGTGTTGTTCCTTGTGACTTCTGAATCCAGTGGATAATGGTGTCTTTTCCATGCCTGGCTACATCTTTCTCAAACAGTAATGCTACTAACTACTTTGCCTGTTAAAATAATCCATCAGTGGTAGAGGCTGCTGCTATTTCAGGCTGGATGACTTGAGTCTTCCCTAGTGAATCTGATACGAGCCACATCTTCTCATCCTTACCTTTCTTCCTTCTGGGCCACATATTAAAATTCTGGAGGGTCTTGTGAGCTCATGTGTAGTGCTTTGCTTCAGTGCAACAGTGGCAGGCACACCTGGCTAGTCACTCCGCTGTGCTTCCAATCCCATCTCCTCGTTTTCTCAGACTTTGCTCCTGTTGTGTCTCTTCTCTGCCCTATTGTTTCTTCTCTCCTGGATAATTTCCACTGTAAGACAAAGAAGGGTGTATTAGTCAGGGTTCTCTAGAGCAGGTGTCCCCAAACTACGGCCCACGGGCCGCATGCGGCCCCCTGAGGCCATTTATCCGCCCCCCCTCCTCCGCACTTCAGGAAGGGGCACCTCTTTCATTGGTGGTCAGTGAGAGGAACACAGTATGTGGCGGCCCTCCAACGGTCTGAGGGACAGTGAACTGGCCCCCTGTGTAAAAAGTTTGGGGACGCCTGCTCTAGAGGGATAGGATTAATAGGATAGGTCCTCTGACCTGGAA